ATTCATTACTACACGCACTTTAATGAAATGTTACACGTAAGCTTGCAAATTAAGTTTTTATTTTGCAAATATTCCCTGTGGCTTTTATAGAACAACTTACATTTTAATTGAAAATGAAGCAGATAATAAATTGACACTTTAGCCAGCTCCTCTTGGTTGATTAAGATATCCCATTGCGAACAAGTAGTTAAAGTGTTCGATTAAATCGTTAAATCGCTTTAAAGGCAGATTAAACTTTTTCGACGTCACAAACAGATTATGCCCAACTGAAATATTTGCTTACCGCTGACAATCAACGCTCAGCTGACTTAACATCCGCTGTATTTACATTTCATTTTCCATATGAAAATACATCAGTTAAATGGATTTCGATAAAGCCCGTTTTTAAGGGATTTACTTAAATTCGCATTAAATATTTATGAATGTGTTTGCAAGTTCATAAATGAAGGCCCACAAGGTGGAGGCTCTGACAGTTCGGGGCAGGTCAAAAGAGACGACTGTGGCAGTCTGTCATTCCGGCTGCTGACAGTTCCTTTTGCCGGCACATAGTTCACAGCTCACGGCATGTGACGCATTTGCCACTGCGCTTCATTATGCAGGTCCTCCTCCTCCACGCCCCTATCTCCCGGAATCCCTGGCGTGCCCTTCACCCGGCCTTCCTATGCTTCCATCCTGCACGACGCCACATGCCAGGCATTCTAGTAGTCGTTCCTCACACAGGCACCAGTGATGATAGCTAATATAAACTTGGTAATATACCTTAAGGTACTTTTATATCCTTTTGGTTACCATTTCTCAGGTACAATAAATATAATTGTTTATAATAGACTTTTTTTATTTTTTTTTCCTTCTCTGTACTTATATAAAGACATTTTCATCAAAAAAAAAAATATATTACATTAATACTTTATTAAAAAAGTTTAAAGATATAAATATTATTAAGTTTTTTAATTTTAAAAGTATTATTGAAAATACTTCAAAAGACCCTTTAGGCTCTTTTATCTTTCTTTTGTGAAAAGTTGAATATTTCTATCTTACATTGAATAACCTATTCATCTTTGTAATTACTTTTTTTAAATATATCACGAGACATACTTGAATATAAATTTTTCTATAAGATCATTGGGATATATAACTGTACCATATTTTTCGAAATTATCTTGTACCTTTGCCAGCACTGATTTCCACCATCATCACCACCCACATTCGTCCTGCTCTCCGGCATTGTTGTGGGTGGCAACATCTGCGGTCGGGTCGCTGCAATGCCGCATTATATAATAATGCATGGGCGTGTGGGCTGTTTGGGCTGCGGCCCCGTTGACCTCATCGCATGGCTGTGTCAAAATTGTTCGACAAGCTCGTGTACTTGAACTGTCAACCTGTGTGGGTGGTGGGGACCCAACATGTTGTTGTTTTCGTGTTTACGTGCTCTTGTTATTCTTGTTTTCGGCGGGACAGGATTAACTATCGAGCGGTTTTGCGCACTTTTGCATATTTATAATTGCAAGTCACGTTTAGGGGCCAAGTTTGTTACGGTTTTAACGGCTCTTTGAACTTGAAGCGATTTTTGAATGTTTTAAATAATTTTACGGTCTATATGTGCAGAGGTGCTGGAGAAAGTATTTAAAGGTATTCTTTTACAACTTAAAGTTTAGAACAAGGGATATCTAAAATAAAGTAAAAATTTGCCAAGATATTATAACCAATATTTTATGTAATTTTTCGTATGAGTTTCTCATGCTTATGCGGTTATTCCACTACATCGTTCGGATCATTCATTAGTACAATTTTTTCTCAGCCCATACGATTTTACGTAGGTGCGAGCAAGATCCGATTTACAGTAGCTCTAATAAATGAGCAAAATTGTACTTTTTAGATTCAATTTTGCTCATACAAAAAAAAAATAAAATGGTGGCCTTCGGTTTTTAAAATTTTGCTCATTAATTGCTCATTGCAGCTGACATATATCTGTCTTGCTCGCACCTACGTAAAATCGTATAGGCTGAGAAAAAATTGTTCTAATGAATGAGCCGACCAATGTAGTGGAATAACCGCATTAGCTAAGATATATTTTTAAAACAGTAAATACGAACATTTATATTTTCAAAGAAAACAAATTCAGCTGAGTGCCTTCCAAAAAACTAAACGTATTTCCAAAGTTTCTCATCCATCGAAAGCAAAATAAACAAAACTATAGTTCGATGTATTTGGCAGTAGAGCCAATTAACCCGAAATTAATGGATAAACAAAGTAATAGGCAACCTGCTCAACGGGACTGAGAAGCGAAATAAATTAATTGCAGTCGCCAGCGGCATCGCCGCAGGTGGGCGGCACTATCTGTGGGCAGGGTGGCGTTTGGGTGGTGCTTGGGTGGTTGGCAGTGGGTGGGGCGTAGGCCCAACAGGCGCCATGCTGCAGTTTCGGCCGACGAGTCGAAACAACAGATGGAAATAGAACTTTAATTAAAAGCCGAGAGAGCCAGCGGCAACAGCAGAAACAGCGCTGCGAGGGGAATATAAAATAAGCCAACATTCTAATAAGGAAAATAGTTGTTCAAACACACACACACAGGAACTCGCAAGATGATATACAAATACAAAGGCACTGAGAGAAAATTTAACAAAATTATTGAAAAACATATATTTTAACTTGAGACTAAAAACGATAAAATATTTATTTGATTATAATGAAAAGCAAACATGATAAAATTTTGAAATATGTCTTACTCAATTTCATATATATTTTAAATATTCTTATATTTTTCCCAGTGCCCTCGCAGACATGTGCACGAACAGGGCAAACAGCGGGTGCTCTCTGCTATTTAAAGCCCATTTGCAGTTGGCCTTATTTCTGAGAGATGGCTCAGAGGGGCCGGGAGCAGCGTATCTGGCGCTTTAAGCCGTTCGGGGCAACCGCATTCAGATGCGATGATATGTCGCCGCCGACTAAGCACGCTCCAGATGCCTCGAAGGCGGTTCGCTATCGCAGCTGCCTCGCTTCGCCGACTTGGCTGCATTAAAGCCGGCTCTTAAACCCGGCTAAAACTAATCGCGGAGCGCTGCGAAACGGGCCGCTTGGCAAACACAAAGACGGCGACAGGTGAAAGGACGCCTCGAGTGGCTGCCACTCAAGAGCCCTAACTGCCAGGGCTTTAAGATCGAGCCGTGCATTCATCGAACTCGGCGCACTTTAGTTTCAGGGCCTCTGCCCATACAATTTAATTAGTCTAGTAGGGCTTCCTCGTTTTCTCATTCTATTAGGGAAAATAATTAATGAATTCATCTGGCCTAAGTGCAGTCCCATTATACTTGACGCCGGCGTGGATAACTATAACGAGATGGGCACGATGACGACGTCGCCGAGTCTGTTGATTCTTGACGTTGATGAGTCGCAAGAACAACAAAACTTATCCAGCGGTTGGGAAATATGATGGCTGTTTGGTGTGGCACATATGCCAACGGAACGTGAGCACTATGATTACATAGCTGATGAAATATGCATTATCTGCTGGTTCTGGGACACAACTTTTCGGTGAAAATAAAAGTTAAGAGCCAACGAAACACAGTATTTGTCCTAGTTAATGGCGGAAAGTTTTAAGGGGATTCAGTCAAGGCTGCAATAAGGATTTTAAAACTTAAAGAAAATTAATTTTAAAACTCACTTATTTACTTGGTATAAGCCTACTTCAAATCAACCAATTTTAAACTGGTGCTTTTTAGAAAATATAATCTTATAAAACACTTTTAATAAAGATGATCTCTTATAAAATAAACATTTTTGTATCCATAAAATAATATAATATAATACCTCAACCATTTGAGGTCTAAAAATTCCTCAGAAAAATATTGTTTCCCAAAGCTATTCATAATCTTTAGTCATCGCGGATTTAGCTTAAGTGATTTTATAATTTGCGTTTCATCTTTGCGTACGTATCTATATTTGCCCTAGCGTCATAAATCTAAATGAAAACGTTTAGGAAGCGAAAAAGTCCAACGCCTACAGCAAGATTATCACCCTGGCCAGAGATATATAGCTTTGCTGGGATATAGCTATGCGGCGAGGCCTAAAATTAAATATACTCGTACCTCTCACAATTTCACTCACTATGCGGTTTGTTTTTCGCTTTAAGGAAACACAGGGGAATTACCTTAGTGGACCGCAGAAATTTGCGGCCACCGTGTTCATCAAAGTGTGCGCAAGTCACCTCCACACATGGCCCCGGAATTCTTGCACATCTCCCTCCAATCAATTGCACATTGTGCACGTAGCCACAGCAGAAACTATGTGCGTGTTTTGGTTGAATTTTGGCAGGCGGGAAAAGGGAGAGGAAAGGAAAAGTAAAGGGTCGGAGCTTAGGGGCGTGTGAAATCGAAACCATTGAAACCGAAAACACTGAATGAAAACTTTTGTGGCCCAGCCTTGGGATCGAATTGAATTTTCGGTGGCATGCCACCAGGCCACAAACTTTTGCGACCCGTGTGGCCATGTAACTGACCCACATCAGAGCCACAGGAAAAGTGGGGGCATGAGGACCGAAAAAAATCAGCGAATGTCTGCCAAAGATTTTTTATGGCATGTGCTGGGGAAAAATGTGAGGGAAAAAACTCTGGAAAGTTTCGACGTTAAAGCTACTGGGCACACTTCATAATTGTATGCCAGTTCTCTCCAAACTTGTGCCTGCGAGGCCTGCAAAAGTTTCAAGGTGCAAGTGCCAACGAGGCGTATACGTCATAAAAGCCATAGACCACAGAGTGACCTGCCTGCGAGAGTGAATGGGGATGTGAATGGGGATTGGATGTGAAGCATCGGTAGGAAAAAATACACGCAAATTGAATGGCGGGAAAAATCGATATAAGTTGCACTTTGTTCATTAGGCCAAAGTCCTGTTGATGAATTGCAAATGGAATGCGATTTTGGTGAGGAATTTGTTTGACGAGTACGGTCGGAATTTGTTCGATTTTCATTTTCATTTAAGCCTTCTCACGAAACCTGCAGTGGCATTTGGTTTTGAAATTTTGTATTTTCAAGCAGAAATAAAAATATTTATTTTCTATTATAATGGAGTACCTCAAAAACCGATTTCTGTAAACTTTTACGTACTTGGGAGAGTTTTATAACTAAGAACCATTTATAGTCTATTATAATCACAATCTAATCATCGTTGCTATCTGGCTAGTAAACCTTTGCGTTTGTAAGGCACTTCTTTTATTTGATTAAGATTCCCTTGCCTTCTGATGTTAACCACTATAAAGATAGTTGCTTTAAGCCCTTACGGCAACAATCGGTCATTCAGATTCAGACAAGATATAGTATCCGAGCACCTGGCCTGCGTTTGGGTGGTGCATTGGTGGGAGGTGCTGTCGAAGTAAGTGAGTCCAGGACAGGTGTAAACGTTTCCTTGAAATATGCCAGCAACAGTAAAACAGTTCACATATCTAGGAAGAAAATGATATTTAATTTAAAGGTCAAATTTCATGTTTTATAATTTTTACAATTATTTAAAATTTATTAAAAATACTTACTGATGGCAGGTGGTCGAGGTAACACCGCCATAGGGAAATCTCCCAGTTTGTTTAATGGTTTGACAATATTCGGTGGCATTGCTTATGGTTGTGGATCCACAATCGGGACCTGATCCGGAACAGGTCACCGTGTTTTCGGTGGGATCACCACAGATGTTTTCATTATTCAAACTGCATATCAAATCACCGCAACTTCCTCCAATCGATGTACTGGGAGTCGGTTGTCCTAGACACAAGGCGAAGGTATTCCTACCGGTGCAGGCAAAACGTTTATCAGTGCTGCAAGTATTGCAGCCTGGACATTCAACTGATGTTTCCACTGTGCTGCAAATAGGTAGGTCCTTTGTACAGTAGTATCCAGTGGGGCAGGTGTAGGAACCTCCAACGGGTACGCCTTCGGTGGATGCAAGAGTACAGAATTGGAATTCAGTCCGCGAAATGCAGGACACGCCATTATCATGGCACGTATTGCACTGTGCCCGGCAGCCCAGGATACACACTCCCACGAAGATCAGTAAGCGCAGCATCTTAAAATGAAACTGAGAAAATAGTAACCCTGCAAACGAATTTATCCAGTAGTTCCTATCTTATCCCAGTGCAGTTTTATTTGTTTCCTAATCTTTGCAAAATTCTATTCATGTAAGGTTGGTTGCATTTTAAACACGTGATTAAGATTATCAAAATAAAGCAGTAATTTAATTCACGAGTAAGGTCTGTATTATAAGTATGTATTATAAACAGAGAAAATACGGAAAAGTCGAAGAGTCTAAGAAAAAACTAAGTTTTTAAGTGATTTTCGGATTATTAGTATTGTTACATATTTTATTTTTAATAAGATTGATTAAAAATTGATTACTGTGTTGTTATGTCATTAAAATCACAAAATCAAAATTGGGTGGTGCAAATTTGGGCGGTGCTGTCAAAGTAGGTGGATCCGGGGCAGGAATATACTTTTCCCCAGATTTTGTCTCCCGAAAAATAGCAGTTAATGTACCTAAGAATAATTATTTAAAATTTTAAATAAAACGTACTAAAATTTCTGGTGAGGAATATTTTTACTTACTGCCCAATGGAGACAGATGTATCTTCCACATTGGGAAATCTCCCTTGCCTTCCTATAGAGCGACAGTATTCCGTAGCAGTGTCAATATAGGGACAGCCTACTGAGTCCGTTCCGAAGCAGGAGGGCTCCCACAATCTGGGACTGCCGCACATATTTGGGTTTTCCACATTGCAAACGAAATCGCCGACACAAGTGCCACAAGTGGAATAAATTCCCAGACAATAGGCATAAGTATTTCGACTGGTGCAGGCAAATCGATTGTCGGAGCTGCATCTATCGCATACTGTACATGCAGCCAAGGTTGTATTGGTGCTACAAGCAGCAGATCTACTGCCTGTGCAGTAGTGTCCTTTGGGGCAAGAAAACACTGGTCCGATAGGCATAAACTTGGAGGAGCATAGCCGGAATTCTCGCTGTGACACGCAGGAGACTCCCATAGATTCCGAGGACACGACGCACGTATTGCAGAGTCCTTGGCATCCAAGGACTCCGACTCCCAAGAAGATCAGTAAGCGGAGCATTTGTAAATGACACTGAGGTAAATAAATCCGCGCAACCAAACTTATCAGTTCTAGTTTATCTTATCCAAGTGCAGTTTCTAGATTAATCTGTTTGCCAAACTATTAAAGACAACTAACGCAATGTAAGGGTAAACTGTTTCACGGGTAAAAAGTACCAAAAAAACTTAAAAAAAATAAAATAAATACTAATCGTTTTAAATCGACTTAATATTATGCATTCAAAATAGTTGGCACTTATTGATGAAAAGTTATAAACTTTTTATATTTTCTCTTTGCTATTTGGAATTTTGTCATAATTTTATTTGATTTAATTATAAGGAACCTTCTTTTATTATTTCTGTTAATTTTCACAAACGATCTATGGACTGCTGAGCCTCAAACTGGCTACTCCATAAGTGCATCTGGCCGGCACTTGGGTGTCACAGTACCTCGATGTGCTGTTGAAATAAGTTTGCCCGGGACAGGTGTAGAGACCTCCCCCCCAAGCAGTTGCATTCAGAAAACAATAAATGTATCTGAAATTAAATAAATATTGCATGATTTAATATCTAAGAAGGAATATAGGTAATACTTACTGCCTGCAGGTGGTGTTGAGATCGATGCCATAGGGAAATCTTCCGTGCTGCTGGACGATGGAACAGTAGGCAGTGGGTGTTATCCCTGTGGGGTCCACTCCAGTGGTAGTTCCATCACCCGGACAAGTGGCCTGGGATCCCGTCGCAGGAGTACCACAAATATTCGGATTGTTATAATCGCAAACGTAACCCAAGCCACAACTTCCTACGATCTGGGAAGGCGTGGCTGTGCCCAGGCACAAGGCAAATGTCCTTGCCGTGAGGCAGGCGAAGGTGTTATTACTGTTGCAGGAACCACAACCTATACAGGATCTGAAAGCAGCATTTGTATTGCAAGTAACATCATTCGCCGTGCAATAATATCCCGTGGGACATGTGTAAGCTGGGCCAAAGGGCAATCCGCTGGTGCAGAATTGGAAGGAAGTATTTGAAATGCAGGCCACCTGGGTCACGGAAGCACACACATTGCAGTCCGCCCGGCTACCAAGAAAATAGAGTCCCAGCAAAACTCCGGTTGTCGCTACGATCAGAAGGCGAAGCATCTTTAGCACAAACTAGCGATATTGGTGTCAAGAAGCTGTATTTATGCCCTCGGAGTAATCTTATCACTTGGTAAAACTAGAACTCCCAACACAGAGTTATAACTGCAAAGGGATTAAAGGCTTGCCGGCGAATTTAGGTCGATTTAGATCCAATGAACTGAATGAAAGACATTTGTTGCATTATTTTTCCGTAAAATATTTATCAACGGGTTTTAAATATTTCAAGAATAATTTATGTACAAGTGGAAGGTTTCGCCTTGATACAGCTAAAAGTGATAGCACTAAAATAAGGTTTAGCTGTAGGGCATTGCCAGGTATTTCCAGTCCAGGTTGAATTCTTGCGGAAGCAATAAATATATCTAAATAAAAAATTTGTTTTAAAAAATTATATAAGAACTGAATAGAAAACTCACCTGAGACAGCTGGAATCATCGGGATATGGATAGCGACCCGTAGAAGCCTTCAGAGTGCAAAAGTCACCGATTACGTTGGTTGCATCATAATAAGAACAAGTGGCGCCTGTGCCATTTATAGAGGGCACACAAGGACTACCGATATTTGCAACACACACTTCCCCTGTCTCACAGGGATACTCGATGTTGGCTACTATATTTACACCGTCGCAAAGTCCGAAAGTTGTGGGACTTGTACAGGTGAATGGAGTAACTGCATCACACTTTTTGCAATCACTACAGGCGACTAAGGCCTCATTGGAGGTGCAGCGCTCCTCCAATGCCGTACAGTAGGTGTTTTTTGGACAGGTGTAGACTGGTCCAGTCGGAATAGCGTCCGCCGTGCAGTTTTGGTACTGAGTTTTGGACACACAGGCTGCCTTGCCATCCGCCGAGCAGACATTGCAGTCGGCCTGGCCAAATGCCACCAGAATGGCCAGCGAAATTCCTAAGTAGAGCAGCTTGTGCAGCATCTTCCCAAGCAACTGGAGATATCGCCAAACTACATGCAGCTATAAGTATCAGTCTTATCCAGAAAGATTAAGATTACTTAAGATTAAGGTATTTGTTAAGAAAACAAATAGGTAGCTGCATTTCTTTTTCATTGCCATCTAATAATATGTAATTAACTAATTAGTTTAAATATTCTGATTTAAAAAAATAAATAAGTAATTCCCTTAAACAAATTACATAAATGGTAAAGAAATAATTATTATTTTATTTAAAGAAAATAACCCCATTATTCATTAAAAATTAATTATATTTTAATGATTATTTTAATTTATAATCCAATTAAAATGTATAAATATTACTAAATTGTATCCCTTGATTATTTATTTTTCCCAGCTTCAGAGTGTTTTCCGTTTGGTCGCTGGAAAATTGGCAGTCGCCGAAAAGTATGCTATGCCTTCAAGCACGATGGAAACCTTAGTAGCTTATCTAAATTGGAGCAGTAGCCAAGGTCGCGCCACCCGAGGTCTTTGCGGATTAAGAGCAATCTGCATGCTCGGAAATAGCTGCCAAAAAGCGCTCTATTTAAGCCATCCGACTGACAAACGCAGACATCAGTCGGCAAAAACAATTGCAGCCAGAAATGTCGCCAAACCGTATTTGCTTGCCACTCAGTTTGTTCAGCCTGCTGCTCCTGCTCGGCTGTCTGGTGTCCTCGACCCGTGGCACCTGCAACGTCTGCAACACTGTCAACAACCTGACCTGCTACTCCTCGACCCAGATGCAGGCCTGCCAGGCGGACGTCCTTTCCACGGCCACGCCGACCTCTTGCCCCAGCGGCTATGTCTGCGTCAGTGGCTCCAGCGGGGTGCTCTGTCAGCCGGAGGGGCAGGATGCTTCCGACTGCCAGGAGTGCAACAAGTGCGACGAGAGCCAGACATTCGCCTGCACCGGGACCCAGAGCTTCGCCCTCTGCCTGGGCACAGACACCGTCCAGGACTCGAGCGGAACCTGTGCCTCTGGCTATGTGTGCAACATCAACGACACCCAGATATGCGGTCTGCCAGCGGATGGGGTAAGTTTGCGGTTTCTCGAAGTTATGTCCTCCTTTTTGGGGCAATCGGATGTGTGAGGGGGAGCAGGTGCACCAGGAAGCTGAGACAGGTTAGAAAGGAAATTAAACCATCAAGAAATTATATTCTATTAGATTTCAAACACACTGTCGGTTGGATAGAAAAGGCTGCATTATTGATTCGCATGAAACTTTGAGGTCGTTTAATATATTAATTATTGGGAAATTGATAAGGAAAATATTAATTAAAGTTTTTGTAGAATATTAACTATTTAAAATGTAAACTACATATAAGTGACCAGATTGTATACTTAATACTTATTTGTTGCTATTCCTATTTTTTTAAAACGAAAAATGGAGGAATTGTATTTAAGTTGAATTAAAATATTAGCTAAAATTCGTTATTATGCCCTAGAGCTAAAAATGTAGTTCAAAGCTGCACAAAAACCTTTTCAAAGAAATCAGCTTAAGTCCTCAAAACTCACTAACGGAATAAACTAGTTTCCCTGGCTGAAAAATAAATAATAATAAATATGCACATTCCGCCAGGTGATGCCGACCTGTTCGTATGCAGATGACACAACTACCACCTCGACAAGCAGCACCACCAGCTCCACCACCGCATCGCCTCCTTCCACCAGCGATGCATCCACCTACTGTGCGGCGGTTCAGTCGCAGGGAAGATATGCGGTGGGCTATAACGCGTATACGACCTGTCGCCAGTACATCTACTGCACTTTGGTAAGCGGCAGTTGGGTCGGAGAGACGTACACCTGTCCGGGCGACCTGTACTTCGACAGTGCCTCGCAGATGTGTGTGGCCAGCATGCCGTCCACCTGCTCCACCACCGCCACCACCACCTCCACGACGACGGCGGCTCCAACCACCAGCAATCCCGCGGCTTATTGCCAGGCGATGCAATCGGCGGGTTACTACCCAGTGGGCACGGATGCCAGCACCACGTGCCACCAGTACATCTACTGCTTTCTGAACGGAGGAACCTGGAACGGCAATGCGTACACCTGTCCCGGCAGCCTGTACTACAACAGTGCCAGCAAGACCTGCGTGGACACCCTGCCATCCACCTGCTCCGCCACGGTGGCCAGCTTAACCCTCAACGGAGTGGAGTTAGATTAAAAGATTGAGAGTATTTGAAGGTTTATTAATTGAGGGGGAGGCGGTGTTCGACCTCAAAGACAGTAGCCCGGATTGACGTACACGCAGCTCTGGGTCTGCGAAACAAAGTAGGAGGTCGCCGGACAGTTATATTCCGCTGATCTGATAAGAACGTTGTTATTAAAGTAGCAACTAACGTAGCTGTAAAGATAAGTGGTTGAATAAGATGAATGATGTGGAAAATTACGCATTTTTGTGTGCACGCACCGCTGGCAATAGGGATCCGTGGGAATGATGGGGAAAAGTCCAGTGGCATTAAGCTGAGTGCACATCTGTTCGGGTGTTAGGGGGCTCACTGTAGTAACTACTGTGGAATCAGTGCTGCTGTCAGTGGTGCTTTCTGTAGTGCTTTCAGTGGTGCTTTCCGTAGTGCTACTCTCGGTAGTGGTCACCGTTGAAGCAGTGGTGGTGTCCACTAGCTCATCATTTATGTCGCAGGTGAGCGTTTGACCTGTGACCTCAGGCACACAGATCGAAGTGCTGGTGGCATCGCAAACGGTTCCCGAGGGGCAGTAACCGAACTTTCCCGTGGGCCTGGTGGCTCCATAGCACATCTGGAATATACCGCGACTCTGGCAGGCGAACAGGTAATTCCGATTGGCATTGCACTGGCCACACTGCGTGGTATCCCCGCAGCTGGGAGGACGTTGGCTGCTCTTCTGAACACAAATCGCCGTGAGATTGGTGCAGTCGAAGCCCTCGAGGCAGTGGTACAACTGATCACGATGTGGGGTTCCATCTGAGGAATCATCATATGATGATTATAGTTTATTTCACAAGGTTTCACCGTCAACTTACCGCCGAAACACAGGTAAAATGAGGTGGAGTTGATGCAGGCCACTTGATTCGATTGGCAGACATTGCAATCCGAAACGGTCTGAACTACCATAAAAGCCAGAAAAACCTGTGAGGATTGTTTGTTGATTATATTTTATAGTTACACTTTTTTAAACACTATTTACCACCACCAGTCCTTTGACTAAACTTTCAATCCTTTGCAACATTTTCGGGTCTCCGAAACTGCTACTGCTCACTGTCAAGGTTCTGCTGCTACTAAAACTTGTCTTATTATAGCCATTTGTCTGGTCTCCAATGTTTATCTACTCTTTACTTTTCACTGCTAATTGTTTTATTTGGCTTGGCTTTCCACATGATTGCGGTTTTATGGGCTCTCATTTTATGATGGGGAATGTTTCTAGTGGTTCTGATTGATATGTGGGTGCGGACATGGAACAGAGGTGGAAACCCTCTTAATTACCAGGCTCCAAATAGGTGGAACGCCTCGTGAGAAGAAAGTTTTTACTAATTGGTTAATATTCTTTCGACTCTTATTATTGCGAACAAGAAATATCTGCTTAAATATATAAATATTTGCTCTTAGGTTATTGACCAGTTAGAGTGTAATACTTTAAAATTGGTCATCTAATATCTATTGGCCATCTGGAGTTGGAAATTATCTTGACGCTTTGACTTACGCTTTGAATTACAAAGAAAATGCTTTATTTCTTTACTGTGTGATGTCACCGAGTGCATTTACCAGATACCGTATAACTATGACCATATATTTAGGGAAAATAGCCCATAAATGTCATTGCAAATATTTGCGTAATGCGCTTATTTAAAAAACCAAATGATAGCTATCGTAGTTAGTCTGTTTAGAATTGTCGGAGCCTGCATGATGTATTTCCAACGGTCCCTGAGAAGTTTGGTAACTCACTATGAAGATCCTTGAAGATCCTTTTCTAATCAAGAGAACTTTCATAGTGCTTCATCGTGATTATATCTTCAGTGGCAGTTTTCGTCGTCGGTGAAATTAAATGTAATGTTTGCCAAGACAATAATGTCAAGTGTGTGAATGAGACCCACTTCAGCTTATGCATGGATAGTGTTGCCCCAGACCAAGTGATGCAGTGTCCCGATGACCAGGTCTGCACCAGTCTCCTCAAGTTCTGCATGCCCCGAGGATCGGTAGCCCCTTCCTGCACTTCGGATGCCGACGTAACGTGCCCCTCTTGCGATGGATCTTCTGTTTTCGTCTGTACTAGCCGCACTACCTTCCAAATGTGCAACGGAGATAAGCTTACCAGCCAAGTCACGAAGTGTAAGGATAATACTTTCTGTTCCATAGGTCAGAATCAATTTTGTGTGGACCGCTGTGAAGCTCTTAACTCAAAGACCGGTTTTCAGTGCGACAGGGAGTCACCATTAGAAGTATAAAGAACATCTCTTTTTTAATAGCAACAAAATTACTTAGAAGAAATAAAAGTAATATTTTTTGTACATTGCATGTTGAAAATAAAGAAAATTATTATTGTTTTCTGTTTCATTTATTAAATAAAAATGTGCGATATTTATAAAATTAAAATATAATGTTTAGGATATTAGACTAAATTAGTGCATCCCGCATAAGCTGGTTTTACAGTCGCACAATTGAAAATATCAGCATCGAAAAAGGGCTTCTGAGCGGTGCAATTGTAAAGCAATCCCGTCCAACTTCCGCTCCTCAGTACGCAGTATAAAAAGCTGGAATATCAGATTTAGTATCTCTATCTAAAGAATGACGAATGATTGTGCTATTTACCTGGTGCACACTGTATCATTGGGTATGGGATAGCGACCCGTTGAGTTGATTCCTTGGCAATAAACGTTTTCATTAAAGGTGGGAGTGGTGGCAGTGCCTTCGGTGGTGGCAGTCACAGTCACTGTGCTTTCCGAAGTGACTTCTGAGGACCCAGTGGAACTATCACCCGTAGTTCCGGTAGAAGGCGACCCAGTGGTAGTTTCACCCGTAGTCTCTGTAGTAGGAGACCCCGTGGAGTTGGTAACCGTAGTTCCTGCAGAAGACTCAGTGGTTACTGCTGATGAATCTGTAGAAGAGCTTTCGGTGCTGGAATCCAAAGTAGTTCCGGTTGAGGTAGAAGAAGGAGTGGTGCTCTGTACTACTTCATCCGTTTCCAAAATCCTATCGCAGACATCCGAGTCGGTAGAGCTGCATCGCGAAATGCAGGGAGATCCATTGGCAGCACCTGCAACACTGCAAACATAGTCGTTGGCACAGGTGATATCACTGTTGGAAACCACTCCATTGTTGCAGAGAGCGAAAGTGGTCTTTGAAGTGCACGCGAAGCTGGCGGATCCGGGGCAAAGTCCGCAGTTTGCGACATCCCCGCAGCCTCGTTTAACATCCGTGCTGTTGGCCAAGCAAATGACATTGTAGGTCGTGCAAATGGGGGTGGCATCGGGGCAAGTATAGTTGATGGTCTGATCCGGAACACCTGGAAAGAAAGATCGATTAGTTGGGGAATCCCTGAAGTCCAAATATGACCGCTCACCATCGTAGCATATCTGGAATAACGATTCACCGATGCAGGTATGCGAATCCACGCACGTACCGCATGCGGCATTCACAATTGCGGGAGCCACAAGAGCCACCAGCAGTACGATCAGCATGAACGCTTTCATTTTAGCTTTACGAATAATTCGCAAAAGGAGCAACCGCCCAGCTTTATAAACCCCGGACTGGGGTCATATCTTTACGATGCGGCTACCGGGGCCATAACATTTATCTTTCAATGCCGAGCGATGCCATAAAGCTGCTCTTCCTAGTACCTTAATCTTCGAGTAGCACGGGAGCGGCGCTTTACAAACAGTATCATATATTCTTAGATCTTTAGCATACCTAATCCTGAGTATAAAACGCTGAAGCTATCTGCTGTTTTCCACTGTCTGTTCTTATAAAAGGCAGGTACTTGTTGGTTATTTCAGTTAGTCCGTTAAACACAGTCAAAAAACCAGCATAATGCAACAATACCAGATCCTGAGAAATTTGGTAAGTATTTTAGGCATTCTTTTGGGGAAAACCTTTATTAATATTTCCATCATCAGTGCCTCTTGGCGGTACTGAGCTCTATGGCGGTGGTGGTGGTGCTAGGAGAGTGCGGAACCTGCCAGACAAACGATGTGGCTTGCCTGAATACCACGCACTATAAGTTCTGCGGCGAAAATGTGGCTCCCGACCAGATCGCCCAGTGTCCCACAGGTCAGGTCTGCACCAGCCTGGCAATCGTCTGCATTGACGAGGGTCTGGTCGAGGCCACCTGCTCGGACACCCCAGCCGATGGATCCTGCCTGTCCTGCGATGGAAGTAGTATGTTCGTCTGCACCAGCCGCACCACCTTCCAGATGTGCAATGGCACCTCTGTGACCAGCCAGGTCACCAAGTGCAAGGACAACAAGGTCTGCTCCATTAAGTCCGGCAAATACTGCGTGGATCTCTGCGAGGCGGGCGACTCCATTGAGTGCAACAGAGAAGCTCCTCTAGAATCATAAGCCTCCTCTTGCTTTTTGTAAAATAATAAATCTACCAAATAAATAAAAAAATAAAAATATTTTAAAATTTAAACAAATTGTAATTATTTAGTTACTATGTTGCAAATAATAAAATACTTGTTCATTAACAAAGCGTTTAAACAATATAATCATTATCTTCATTTTAATCTTATCTGAAATGGGCTTAGTCACGATGCCAAAAAAATTTGCCTAAAAGAGTATTTACTAACATTTTGTGTCTTATATTTTTATTCTTCTAAGTCTCACAAAAAATTTTATTTTAGGGCGCGAAAAAATGTTCGATATCAATAAAAATAAATCCATTTTTCAGATCATACAAGTTTTTATAAAAATGGTCCTAAATCATTAAGATTCTATACTATTTTAGTACTTCTTGAATAAAAAACTGAAAGACCACCAAACAGCTGTACAAATATTTACTTTTATTTGTTCAACAAAATATAATAATAAACACTGGATTTCTTTTAAACCATTTTAGTTGCCCTTCATAGTCATGTTATTAATGTCAGCTGATTTATTATTTGTAAACACGTAAAGATTCCAAAATAATTCTGAAGAATTCCTCCCATAAAACACTTTTACCACCCTTAAGCTAAAAGCTTATCGTTGTTTTGGCCATCTCACGTTGTCAGGGACAAAAGCAGCGCAAAATTCTGTTGCGAAGGTCAGTTCTTTAGCCAGAAAAAAAAGGAAAACAAACTGTGAGTTAAGCAAAAGTGCCTTCATTCATTTTATATTAACTCTAATTGAATTAAGCAATTTAATTGACATTGACCCAATTGCGTTGGGGCTGCGTAATCAAATTAGACATATGAGGCAATGACGTCAAAATGGTGTAAAATTGTTATATACCATAGCATTTGTTTCTAATTTCTGTGATGCCGTAAACAAATTGTTCGGCACTTTCATGCTCCGATTTTCGGCCTGCGATGGAGTTGCTCCACAAATAATGGGGCCCCCAAAGGTGTGGAAAACAAATTCGCAACAGGAAGCAAACGGTGAAAAGCGAGAGCACAGAGATGGGACCACTTCCCATCGAAAACTATCAAAAACCATGGAAAAACATGGAAAACCATCCAAAAGATCCAAAGGCCCCCCGGCATTTCGCTGATTGTGGCGCATCTAATTGTTGTGACTGTTGCGTTTTGTTATTGTAATTAATATTCAGCTAAATTCAGCTGGGGCTCACTAAAACTAAAAAGCGAAAAGCGTTGAACAAATTGCGGTCATTAAACTTTTTGCCGCCGCGAGCGAAATAAATTGTCGCCCCCGCAAGCGCTGCCTTTCATAACAAAGTCACAAATCAACGCGAGCGGATCTCCCAACTGCCATCTCCCATTGGATTATTAACAATGTTGCAGCTGCAACTGACTGTGGTCTTTTGCCTTCTGGTCCTGGCCACCTGTAAAGTGCACAAACAGAGTCCATCGAACAGTTGGCGGGATATGCTCTTCGGCAGCAAGTGGCTAACTCCCGCTCCGCGGTGGCGAGAGTCCAAATGTGGGTCCCCGAAAGCTTTAAGCCAATGGACGGTGTCATCAGAAAATTAAATTACATTTCGTGTACCCACTAGTTTTGCCCATTTTCGCCCTGGTTCCCATCGGTCCTGGCAGCTGTTCGGCGCCCTCGGGCGAACAGGGAAATTGCATTCCCAGCAAGGATTGTGTGCTGAGGAATGGCATTCCAGCTGGTCCCTGTGGCGGTGGCTATGGCGTCTGCTGCATCTGTGAGTTTTTTTTTAAAGGGAAGATACATTTCCTAACCCTTTCGTATTTGTTCAGTTCTCCAGACCTGCGGCGGTGTCATTCGCGAGAATTCCACCTACTTTGTGAATCCCAATCATCCGGATGTCTACGACGGCACCGGAAGCTGTCAGGTGACTGTCCAAAAACTCCATCCGGATATCTGCCAGCTGCGCCTGGACTTGGATATGTTCTCGATAGCCCCTCCGGAGGCAGCCAATCATCTGTGCAACCAGGATCAGTTGCTGATTTCGGGCGGCAGTCCCACGCCCACAATTTGTGGCAGTTCGACGGGAGATCACAGTGAGTTAACACAAAAATATATTAGTTAGATTAAACTCGACCAAAATTAGTATAAAATAAAATGCATTTTGCATAGATTTATGTGGAAGAAAGGATTATTTTCCCAAAACTATACAAATCAATTGAATTGAAACAGAAAATCTGTTCCATTTAAATCTGATTGTAAATACTCCTTAGAAAAAAAAATTTTCCATTCAATCTAATTTTCAACGGAAGTCTCCATTTTTACTTAAATCTCTCTATTTTAATAATTATTTATTTAAGTTATTATTTAAATTAAAAAACTTATAAAGTGAATCGTTTCGTGTGCCATTTTTATATAGTCAATTTTATTGCTTTTTCATGCTTAAATTCACAACCAAAAGTATTTTTAATAGAAAGTAACATCCACAAAACGAGTGTCCAACTACTAAACTTTAAGATTAGCGCAGTAAACACAACCGTCTGTCTTCTCAATGTCAACTTTGTGTATTTTGCGCAGTGTACATTGACGCGGGTCTTGGCCAGAGCAACCCGATTGTTTTATCGGTCATCACAAGCGGTAGCTTTCCTCGTCTGTGGCGCATCCGCGTCACCCAAATCCACTGTGGCAGCATCAGTCGAGCGGATCAGGGCTGTCTGCAGTACTACACGGCCATCAGTGGGCGCGTGCGCAGCTTCAACTACAACACGATGGCTGGGAGACAGCTGTCCAACCAGGACTACAGCATCTGCATCCGAAACGAACGGAACTTTTGCGGCATTCAGTACAACGCCTGTCCGGATCTGGAGAACAACAGATCGCGGGCGTTCACCCTTTCTGGGAACTCCAACAATCCGGTGCCCACAATGGTGGGCGGTGGTGGTTCAATGCCTCCCAATCTCAACGGCTGTGTCAGCGATTGGCTGCTGATTGGCTGCATCAGGTCGGCGGACAGGATTCCTCCTCTGCCAGGTTGCGAGGATCGCGTCTGTGGAGGCACCTTTAGCGCAGAAGCTGGGATGCTGGCCAAAACAGTGCAATGTGAGTAAAAACTAAGCTAATGCCAAATTTAAACTAACTTATTTCAAAGGATTCTGGTTCATTTTCAATCCATTCATTATAACCTACCATAACAAATCTAAATACTTTTAAAAACCTAACTAATCCAAAAATGATAATTTTTTAAAATAAATAAAAATATTTTTTTTAATTTTATAAAATCCTTTAAGTTTAAAAAAAACTTTTCAAACGCATACTAAATTTAACTTTCTTTAAAAGAGAATTCTATGGCATGAAGTTAAAATTTTTAAAATACGAATAATTTTTTTTAAATATTTCATAATATTTATTTAATATTTTTTAAACATCCTTACAGCCAGCGTTCGTCCATTCCGGCTATATTTCCATACAGATGGCGTAGAGGCGCCCAATGATATTGATAATCGAGGTTTCTGTCTCGACTATGTGCAGCAGCCATGCACAAATGGTTTTTAACCGCAATACTCTTTACCATAAACCCAAGACATGAACCACGCGACTTAAATCGCTAGGAACTTGTGATCGGCGCAGCAAAAGTCGCAGGCAAAACGCGCACCTTTTTCGTATGTAATAAATATGTTTTATTTATTGATTTTCGTAATTAAGTTAGACATAACTTTAAGATTTAATTTAATTTAGAAAGCACAAATCGTGTCGTATTTTGGTACAAATTTAGTGACGTGGTCCGGGATATCGAAATTTGTTGCGATCGAAATTCTAACATTAAAATCGTTTCCAACTACTAATACAGGTTTATTGAGTTACGTTTAATTAATAATACTTAGCTGAAGCAAAAACAAAAAATTAAATAACAGAAAAACACGATGAAAAACGCTTTTGTTTAAGGACATTTTCGTTGCAGTTGATGATGTTGCTGGTACTCATTGATGTCGTGGCAAACAAATAAAAATCAAAATAAACAAGTACTGATGATGCGCACGTTGTCGTCGTATAAAACGGGGTTTTCTGGGTTCGCTTGCTCGCCTGAGATCGCCAATTTCAGTCTGTGCGCGTAGTGCCCGACTTGTGACGTCACTGGGGGATGGGATTATCTCTCGGATGTGATGCGGGTATCTACGATGGTAATCTGCTAATCCTAATAGGTTTGTATCAAGGCAGCCACATGCTGTTTCTCCTCCTCGGTCAGACCGTTTTTCAGCGTGCGACGTACTGTAAAACAGGGATATATTAATGATTTATAATAATTTAAGATAATATTTATAAGGATTTAGTTAGGCGTAGGCAGTCATTCAATGTTAGGTCTATAGGTCATGCTGGTTAGTTGCCTGTATTTTTGAAAATCCGTTAGGCCACATGCAAATGCAAATTATATTTACAAATTTTATCCATGCTTAGAACCGGGATCTTCAACAAAATACAAAAGTAGAAAAAACAAGGCTGATTGCAGGTTTCAGCCAAAGAAAACAAATGGTAAGAAAACGGTGTAGAACTCAACACAATTCAATTCACTAACCAAAAAAGGTAAAACCTAAAAACAGTTGGCTGTTCTTTTGGCAACGGTATTCGGTTAACAGTAACGGTTTCTACGGCGATGGTGCTCTTTCAACTGTGAATCCTTCGCGCGTGCGGCTGCGCTTCACTTCGATAGTCAATATTTCAGATTGGTTGGGTTTGGTTTGGTTTTATTTTATTTCGGTTTTGATTTTTATTGGTTTGTTGGATTGGTGCGTTAATGGTAAAAGAACGAAATGGAAATAAATTAAAACCCAATATAGGCAACAGATTCGTAAGCTGGCAGAACTAAGGGGACAGAAGCTGCGAAATCGGGAATATTATGTAAATCGGGGTGGGAAAAAAACTGCAGAGGATTTTGTGTGAATTTGGAATTTTGTGTGGGAAATAGATATTTGCATAATTATATAGTTTCTCTTTTTGGAAATGTCGGTGGTGTGTTTCTGGTTGGAAGTAGTATCCAGCTAGAGGTTATAGACATAGCGCGCTGTGTGTGATTCGAAAAGATATAGACCAACACCTTTTCATTAGAACGTATTCTCACTGTCAGAGTTTTGGACGTGGATCTGGATCTTGAGTGTTGTATGGAAGGGGGAGCGGTCAACTTACATGATTTGCGATCCGCGTGTCGCGTCCGCTTCCGTTCCCTTGGCGTTGTCCTGGTTCCCGGGGCCTTGGTGGCCGTTTTGACCAGGGACTCTAGAATCTCGTCGTCACCGTCGGTGAACTGCTCCTCACTCTGGCGGGCAATGGGCGAACGGAGCTGCTCCGCCCGTCTTCTTCGCCAGGTGAGTGTGCCATCAGCCTGGTCAGCACTGGATGTGTCCAGCAGTTTTCTGGAAAACAAAATTAAAGTTAGTCGGGAGTTCACGGGAAAAGCAATTTCCTTGCAATCTTATCAGCATGATATTTAAATTATTCAAAGAACTATAGAACCATTTACAGGCATTATAAAGTAATAAAAGATATAGTATTTGCTATCTTAAAATCTATAAATCAATTTTGAAATGTTCATCACATAATATTCCCAGAAATTCTGGTCATTTCAATAGCGATAAGCTTTGCTTGTGGGTTGATTTACCATTTCAAATGGGTTGAACATATCAACAATGTCATGTTAATATTGATAAGAACTTTAAAACTCACTTCAACTCGTCATCGGCCACGTCATCTTTGGTCTTGAACTTGGCCATGTCGATGATCAGCTTGCCGCGCGTCTTATTCCTCTCGCGGTGGTTGGCCTTCTTCTCCAGCTGCTGCTGCACCCGTTCGCGGGTGGTGCGGTACTCCAGGGCGAATTCGGACAGGGTTCGGCTGAACTCATTGGGCCGCGACTCGGCCACACTGTGCTGCGGCATTCCCAGCCACAGGAGGAACTTCCGGTAGCGGTTCATGACCCGCCGATGGACGATCTGCAGGATTATGATGCGTTCCGCACAGTCGGCCAGGAAATCCACGAGCTTTTGCTTCAACGGCGGCGGGCAGTCATGTTTGGCAATTAGTTTAAGACGATCCCAGCAGGCCTTGCACTCCGCCTCCAGCTGATTGAGATTGTGGGCCAAGTCGGTGAAGTCCGCCTTGGAGGCCCGCGTAATGGGTCCAATCTCCGAGTAGAGATCACTGGTATCGCTGCTCGACTCCATGACCATGTGGCACAGGTGGTGCAGCAGCGAGTGCTTGTGCACGGTGTCCTTGACCTCGGGCACCTTGGCCAGATACTCGATCTGGAATCCCTTGACCGGAGCTCCGTTCAGGAAGATGCCCACGGAGAGCAGAGTGGAGAGGATGCTGCGGAAGGTGCGATTCTGACGCAGGATCTCAATGCCTTGCTTGAGATCCATCAGGGGTTCCGCAATCTCTTTCTGCAAGACAGTCATTTTAGATATCTCTCTTTCTAAACTCTTTACGTAATCACTTACCTCGCTGTTGTCAAAGTCGAGACGGAAGGCCCACAGCTTCAAGCGCGCCTCCAGCTCGGAAATGGAGGCCAGGGTCAGCAGGAACTGCTCGGCACTGCCCAGGGGCAACTCCGGATTGGTCAGCTGGGCCTCCTGGATCTTGCCGCGCTCCTCGTCGGTGGGCAGCATATTCAGCAGCTTGTCGATGCCCTCCCGCGTGACCACAGTGGCGTCCATCTTCAGGATCGCCGTCTTGATGGCCCGCGGAGGTGGCAGCTTGGTGATCGCAATGTTGATGGCATTCGATCGCTTGTGGTCGAGCACGATGATCTCTTTGCTCTTGTTCAGCTCTTGTTGTTTCTGCAAGGTCATCGGATTATAAAGTTAATAACTTTCGATCAGGCGGCGATCGATTTAAGATAAAAACAAAGAGTGGTGCACAATGAAGAAAACAAGAGAGTGTAGAGTGCAAAGTGCGGAATTAAAGAGGAGTTTCTGTTTTCTGTGCTGTTCTGTATGGTTAGCAACTCAATCGTTTCCATCTAAGGTGTACTATGTAAATGTGAGAGAGTGTAGAGAAGTAGTGATATTAACCAACACCAAAACACTAAACAATATGGTCAATAGATCGTGAGTTATAGTGAGATATGTAGTAAACAGAGAGATAGAAAGACAAAAGGACAAACAAATTGAATAACGTTTCGATTGGCACTCACCTCCTAGAGACATTGGAAAACATTTGAGAGTATTTGAGAATTATTTGCATTTTGGTTTTGAGTTTAGCACACAACATTTATGTAGATATATCCGCAAACAGACCGTTCGACATTTAGGTATTAGGAATTATACAAGATATCCGTAAATAGAGGGGAAAGAAGAATACAAAAATCATTCGCATTTGGTTAACGCAACATACACTTAAAGGAGAGCCTATGACTAATTTAATCACACTTATCGTCTAGAGTCGTTGAATTTCGAGAACCTTTGACCAATTGGGGTGGCTAATATAGAGGGAATACTATCAGTTGGTTAATACGAACCTTGGTCATCAAGTCTTTGGCCCGCGACTCAAAGAGATGTTCGAGCTTCTGGGTATCGACATTGGCATCGGGCAACTCGTCCCAAATGGTCTTGCCCACCACCTGCGGTATCATATCCTCGCGCACTTCCTTCCAGAAGAGCTTGACCTAAGGATTAGATGAATTTAATGTTATTAACTATTTTAATACCAAAACTTTAAATCCCCTACTCACCGTCTTCTTGTTCTTTTTGATGGTGTTATTCCCATTGACCAGTTCCCCGTTTATAGATCCATTCAATGAATTTACACTGTTGGTGAGGCTGCCCCCATATCCAAACATGGGTGGTGGTGCCAGGCTGGGGGGCATCATAGGCGGTGGGGCAATGGCCCCTCCAAGAGGCGGAGGAGGTGGGGGTATGCCAGCTCCCAGACTTCGTGGTGCCAACACATCCTTCTCGTCATCATCCCGCAGATCCGTAAAGTCCAGATCACAGAGATTCAGGGGCCTTGTCATATTCCTAACCAGTTCCTCCCAGTGAAGCTCGTTCTCCGACTTCTTCGGCTCAGACTTTTTCAGCTCCTGATCCACACTTGAAGATCTGAAAGTCATATAATGTTTATGTCATCGTGATTATAACTTTTATCTTTTCTTCTTTCTCCCCATAAAGTATGGTATCAAAGTAGCCTGTAAAGGGGTCTCATAAATGATTAGTCTTAACTTATCTTTGACAGAACAGCACTATATATAATATATATACAAGTGTGATAAGAAATCAGAAATCAGGCGACAAGGGGCGGGACAAACTACTTTCTAGAGATCCGAGAAAGCCGATGACGAACGATGATAAGACCGTGAATTTTGGGCAGACTGGGCGAAAACCTGAACTCTTACGAAACTCCCGCATAAATCTAATCTGGCGAATTTGCACAATGGACTCTATTATTATCGGCTTGCATTGGTAACCGTTATCGATTTCTAAAGATAAGTGTTGTTTCACTAAGATTTCCCGATTTCCGGCCGGTATAAAGGCGGTGCACTGCGAGGGACAAGTCACATTTGTCGAGCATAACTCAAGCAACATGGCCGATGTAAGTTGATGATCGTTGAGGATCTGGATATAGAACAATCTCTCTAACACTCTTTCTCTCTGTGATCTGAAGTTCAACGCTATCCTCGAGAAGACCAAGGCCTTCAGCCAGAAGCCCCCCACCGAGGTCTACCTGGAGTTCTACGGTCTGTACAAGCAGATCCACGAGGGCGACATCGCCATCGAGAAGCCCGCCGATGCCGAGGGTGCTGCCAAGTACGATGCCTGGCTGAGCCGCAAGGGAGTGTCCGTCGATGACGCCAAGGCCGCCTACATCGCCCTGTACGAGAAGTACAACCCCATCTACGGATAAGCTATATTATCTATATATGCTTTAGTTTACGACTCTGTGCGACACGGCAATAAATCTTGACCACCTGTGAACTAAACGATTGTCTGACTGAAGGATATGGGGTTATGTCTTATTGGTTCTCGGATTATGGACTTAAAGCCCTGGCACACTTGCCACTTATCAAATGACCACCTAGCATGACAGTGCTAATCGCCACTGGCTTAGCCCGAATTCTTATCTTCACCCCATTGGCGCCATATATTCTCGTAAATCTTAGCCATAAACCATGTAAAGACAGGCTATCTTTGGTTTCTAATCTAGTTGAAAATGTTAGTAAGTGAAAAGCTTGAGATTTATTGAGAGTCAGTGGCAATCAATTGACTATGATATCATGGTGGGGTACTTTAAGAAGAGGTTCTTGAACTAATTTTGAAGATTGATTAGCACGAAAGCTTTAATACAACTTTTTAACAGATAGCATTATCGATGTATTACAGATAATACTGATAATTCTCTAAGACCATAATACATTGAATTTGTCTAAATTGAAAATACAAAATAATTAAATAAGGTAATATTTAAATATTTTTTAGTCCTAGCGAATCACAGATATATCATATATCAAATTATTTATAATATATGTAATATAACCGCTTTAAATATTTACTCTAAGAAATCTACAAAAGTGTGAGTCCGTTTATAATTACTTGCCCCCTTTTCCTTTTTTTTTAAATTGTTTTTTTTAAGAAGGGATGTCTACTTCTATAGAACTCACCTGGATATCTCCCCCTTGCTCTTGCTCTTGGCCAGACCCTCTTTGGCTTTCGAAATGAGGCCGGACATGTCGCCGACGAGGGCTCGATCGGCGCGGTCCTGGGTGGGGCTCATGGGCAGGTTGCTCAGCTTCTGGGTGAGATCCTTGACGGTGTGGTCCCTTTTCAGCTGCAGGAGCAGCTGCTTGTCCTCGCTCTCCATATCTGTTGTGGAATCACATAGTAAATATAATATTTACAAATATCTGGGCCCTCGAAAGTATGCAGCGGCAGAGGCGCAATGCAATGTGGATGTGGATGTTTTTGGCGGCGCTTGCGAGTATGCAACACACAGGTGACAGGTGAGTTGGGGGAGGGGTTTTAGGTTCGGTTTGCGACCCACCTGAAGGATCCGGCAGCAGCTCTGGGTTAGTACTGGTTAGGGTTCGAGCTGGAGGAGCTGGTGGGCTGTTGTAGATGGGGGCGTGCCACCACCCAGGGGGCGGTGGTGGCGGCGGTGGAGGAGGAGGCGGTGGCGGGGCTGCAGCCGGTTTCCTAACCGGACTCAGTGGCTCCGGTTCCGGCAGGACATCACATTTAACGGGCGTGGAACTCAAAGGAGCGGGGATCGTGAAGTCAAACCCAGAGGCATTCAGCGTCTTTTTGGGACTCAGCAGGACCTCCGGCGCAGGCTGAATAGGCTGATGGATCTGATGGATCTGATGACCCTGATGCTTCGGCGACTGACTGTAGTAGTTGTTCAGCCGATTCGCCTCGTTCTCGTACTTCTTGTAGGCACTATCGGTTTGCTGGATATTCTTCATAATACCATTGATCACAGTTGAATTGCGTTCCCGGAACAGATTCTTCTTGGTGAGGAACTCGCTCTGATTATTGTTGCTCGCCTTGTCGAAGCTGTTGTTGATGATCGAGATGCTGTGGCTGCCGGTGAGCAATTGTTTGCTAGGACTCATCAGCAAAAGGCTGTTGTTCGGCGTATCATTGCAACTCAGGTTGCTCACATTGTTGTTGCTAATGCTGCCGATGCCGCTGATGTTGTTGCACGGCTGAATTTCAGGTTGCAACGACTGAGGCGGACTGTCGCCGGCTTGGATGGTGGCGGGTATGGCGGTTACAATTTGGCCTATTTACGGCATGAATGGTATTTTTGTTTTGTTTGTTTGGTTGTGGTTAGCATGATCAGCGGGTGAACAGCGGGACAATAATACACACAGTGATTAGCGTTTCGGTGGGAGAGAGAATCACAAGTTAGTTAGTCGCTCAAGTCGTAAGCAGCTTGTGTAAATTAATTACGTTTTTTTTTGGTTTTAAAAACTTACCCAGGCCCTCGCGCTGCTCCAAGGCGGCAAAGATCCCGTTGGCCGCCGCCTCCTGTTGCTCCTTCAGGAAGCTCTTGTGCCGCTCTGCCCGCTCTCGTCTCCTTCGAAGTCCTGGAGTCACGCCTGCTCCATCGCGAGCTGGAGAGGATTAAGGAAAGAGTAGGTCTCTGGTACTTAGAAAATATCTACACCAAAAAAAATAGTCATAGAAACGAAGCTATTGTGACATGAATTCTACACTATTGAGCGTCAAATTTGCATCAATAAGAAGAGTATTAATTTTTTCGGTGTAGAAATGAAACTACAAAATATTAAGTTTATATTATTTCATATGAAATTAATTCTACTGAGTATAGAATTTGAATTATTATAAAACAACGCTTAGAGAGTTAACACTTTTGATTTTTTTTTTGGGTGTATATATTTTTAATGCATTAAAAAGAATAAAACTGTATAGTCGGGGATCAGAAGAAAGCCTTCAGTCTCCTTCAACGTTACCAATCAAACTGATATATTAATATATTTAAAATCTTTTTATAAACTTTAAACTTACGTTTCTTTTCATTGAAGAGACCGCCACTAAACTCCGTAGAGTTGGTAGACCCAGAGCTATCCTCATCCACGGTGGCCTGGGTGGGCGTCATCCGGAGGACAGTGGTGGGCAGGACCTTTGAGAGGGGGGCGGGGCTATTATCAGTGCTATGACGACGTGACTTCCTTCGTTCGGCGGTGTTTGTCCCCGGTCGATAACGCTGCGTTTTGCGCATTGAATTTTGCGGTAAGCGCTGACCATCCGACTCACCATCCTCAAATCTGGTGAGTAAAATATTCATTAGCTCATGCATTTAAATATCGAATTATTAAACCCACTTCAGCACAGCCTCGTACAGTTGCAGCTGATCGAGCAGATCCAAATCGGTGCCCGGCTTGGACATATATCGCTGGATCACTGTCTCCATGCCCTGCTGCTCCAGCAGATCGCTCTCATCGTAGAAACTGTCCTGATCATTGAGACCCGCCAGGGTTTTGTTGATCAGCGAAGTGGCATAGATGACCAGCTCGGCATCGGCATTATCATAGTCCTTAAGCAGTCTGAAAGTTATATGATAAATATATCATCTCCAACAATAGATTGAGGCTCCCAAAAGTAGACTCTACCTCATTATATTCGACCAGGGCAGGGTTCCCTGGGAGGCGTCCACCGCGTGAATCGCACTGACCAGCACATAGCAGTTGGATTCGGCGTACTCCACGAAGACCAGCAACAACTTGAGGGCGGTCTTCACCACGGATCGGTAATTGGAGGCAATCAGCGAGTAGAGCCACTGCATCGTCGGCTCATGCTTCATCACGCCGTTCATTCCGTCCACATAGAGCATGACCTGAAACCGCCGCCGCCGCATCCAATGACATAATTAGCTTGGGGTTCTTAAGGGGGAATCTATGTATAGGATAGACTCACCTGACCGAGGGCCCGCAGAATGTAATTCTGATAGTTTTGATCCGCACAATTGCCCACGCGCACCAGGCAATTGAGGCCGCCGAGGGCCACGAAGGCGTGCACCAGATCCTTATCCTCCTGGAACACCTGCTTCAGCGAGAAGAGAGCCCGCCGCAGGTCACTGCCCTCGGCGGACAGGAGTTTCTCTGCAAGTTCAAAGTCAGTTGGTTAGGTTTCGTTGCACGGGGCGCATGCGCAATAAGCCTTTCGTTCTCTTACCAATAATTGCGTGCACGCGCACATTCAACTGCGTTCGCACCACCAGTGAGTTCTTGCGGCTGAGGAAAATAGATAGAGAATTTTATTATAAGTAATATGCTACTAAAAACTCCCTTATACGTTAGAATATAGAACTAGTTATCCTATTTTTGATTATTTTTTAAAAGGAAAATTATTATGTATTTTTATTGCAAAGAAAATCAGCAATTATAAAATGTTAATCATTGTGATTATAATGACACTGAATAATTCTACATTGTAATAACTTTAATGTAAATTTTCATATCTCCCATTTCATTCTTAACATTAAATAAATAAATCATTGTAACAAAAATGTTAACAGAATTCATAAAACTCTTTTTAAAGATTTAATGGTCTTAAAAGTAAAGGGAATTAATAAACGCCACACTATGAACCACTTTTCACCATGTGAAGTGCCAAATACAGAAAGATTAGGGCACAATGGGGAGCTGGCACCTCAGTTGCTCCCCAAAACCCCACTCCTGGCCAAGTCCAAGTCCAAGCCCGGTTCATTGACCAGCTAAGAACATTGATTACCCGCTGGTGCTCGCTTTGCTTCACCCCGGTCATCACCCAGCTGGTCATAATAAAAGTAATAACAAACGACGCAGATAATTGAAAATGGACTATGGGGCGGCAGGCAGAGGCAGTCAGTCAGTCCGACACACACCACACCACATATTCTATATCGTATGGAATATAGACAGGGGGCCGCTGAACAAAGGTGAGTGTCTGAGCCGCGAATGTCCAAGACACACCTGTCTTCTTCTGTGTTGGTAACGCAACGTGTCTCTCCCTTTCTGCAGATTGACGGGCACCTTCTGCGGAATTTTGATGCGAATTGAAGCGCATGATTTGCATGCGAGCTCGCGCTGCCATGACTAATGCGATAAGCATGATTAGTGGCCATCGGACTGAGCCATCGGTTCCCATTCTGGCCATTCCGGCTAGAAGAGGGGAGCACTCTCAACTGAATTTGGCGCCACACCACTCGTAAATAGAGTGGGGACGAGTTTGCGCCGCAAAGTGGCGGCAATTTGCGCAGACGCGGCGACATTTACGTTATAATTTCAAAGACTGCACTTACGATGGCTTAGATGGCCGCCCCGCCCCACTGATGACTGATGATCAGAAATGCTAGGATGCATGAATGCGGTGCAGAAGAAGTGAAAGTCAGAAATAGACCACAAATCCATCCATTTCCCCAGTTTAACAGGGTTAAGCAACTCCAGAACATTGACTTTGAACCTGGGAACTGGTAACTGGCTTTTGGCCATCTGTGTTGCTGCTGCTCTTACTTTGACACTTGTGCCCCGTCGCGTACATCATTTTTCTTTGTGCCCCAAGTTTTGTGGAGCTGCCCAAGCGCCTGCCTATGCCATGACATCACGTTCTTCAGTCTGGCCGCGAAAAAGAAAGAAAAACTATGAAGTGGAGAAACTGTAGAACTAGAAACGACTAAGGGCTACCTTCAAAAGACCTGAGATAATTAAAAATATTTATTTTCCCTGATTTTAAACATTAAAACTCAAATAAAAATAATTCTTTACACGTTTACAAAAAACGCTTTGATAATTATTATTAAATGTATTTTATAAAAATGAAAACTTTCTGAAAAATGTTGGTTTAAACATCTTAAAAAAATTGCATCTAATTTAAGCTTGAAAAATATTGACATTTTCAATATTTTGACAATATCGATTCGATAAAATGGATGCCTTCTAGGAAAAAGCATTAATTAAATATCGAGAAATAGCTAACTGTCGATATTTTTTCTTTCTAATCCCTAAAAACCCCACTCGTCTACGGGGTATTTAAATGTACTTGTGCATAAGTAACATGCATGCCAGTTATGAGAAAAGAGCACAAAAAATGTAAATATAACAACTGCAGAGCTACGACAACGACGACTCAAAAGTGACGTGGCGAGCGTTTTTTGTTCCTTTTTTGTCTCTGCGGCGCGGATTAAATGCAAATTAACTGCAGACTGCGGCGGCAACAAGTTGCACGTAGCAATGTCGTGGCATGCAAATGTCTTCAAAAACCCGGTGAGTGCCGGGCAGAGCGACAGAGTGGCAGGCGGCTAAGCAGGTAACCAGCCAGGTAACCAGCCGGGTAGGCAGATAGCCAACTCAGCTCGGTTTCCTGTGCCACAGATAGCGACAGTTTTTTATGGCCCGGCCAAATAACTTTATTAGCGAACGGAGATGGCGATACCGATGCAGATACGGATGCCGAGGCAGGCATACCGCCATGGCGTATGTGTAATATGTTGCATTTCGGTGAAAGGCTGACAGAGCCACCCACGATTAGCTGCCCCAATAACCCAGAGGGGATCGACTGGTTCGGCGTTTCCCGATTGCCGTCGCCAGCTAAAGATTACAAGGAGTGGCTATGGCTACATCAAGCTTTAAGCTCCACATCCATTCGATTATAATTAATAAAAGTGAGCGCCCTCACTGCAATTTAAAAATCGCATAAATCTCTTAAATACTTTATTACCATTCAAATATGCTTTTAAAATCTAAGTTTTATAACTCTAATATTTTCTAGTAAATATTTAATATTACTACAGTTTTTAGGCAGTATCCCGGAATTTCTATTAACAAGCTAAGGTAGCCACAAATATAGGAAAATGGGTTCAAGGCAAGCCGCAGCAGCCAAAGTTGCAAAAGTGAAATCCCCTGACAAATGCTTCACGAGTGGGTGAAGCGCACCAGGTGTGCCCCATGTGGGCTGACAATTCTTTTCTGTCCAAGCTCATTAGCCGGCGTTTTGGGTCAGGTGCCGGAGTTGGCGGTTTCTGTTTCCCCAAATCGTTATCTCCGCCACACTCACCTGACGTTGAGTCCCTCGATTTCCTCGGTCTGCTCGGCCAGCGATGACTCCAGATCCAGGTAGGCTCCGTAGTCGCCATCCTTGTACACCTGGATGGCCGCATCATCGATCTGCAAGGGGAAGCGGAGAAGAGAAGGCTTAGTTTCGCTGGCAATTATAATTAAAGTCTGGCTAAAAGTAAATGGCAACGCCGATCTCGCCACTACCGCACTACGCAGTAAAAGTTGTTTATGGTCTCGGCTCAAGAAAAAGAGAAAGAAGCTGATGGAGATGGCGATGGAGTTTGAGTTTGAGCTTGCGCTTGAGCTTGGACTGCAGTTGGAGAGGTTGATGTGCTGCTGCAGCGTAGAACGTTTTGGTGCACTCAGAAAAATTGGAAGGCACTTTCTTACATTTTGATGCAATGAGTTGGAAAATTGTTTTTGAATAAAATCTTTTGAAACTTTCAATTTATAAATGTTTATATTTTATAATATAAATATAAAAATTCTTTGATAAATAAATTCGGTTCGCATTTCTGGAAAAAAATATGAGACTTCCTAAAAAATATTTTCTTTAACTTAAAAAACTAAATTAAAAATCTATGCGATAATAAATTCATGCTTTAAATCACTAAGGGCCGGTTTCTCGAGTCCCTGTCAAAGTCCCTGATAGCTATCTGTCCGAAAAACTTAAAGACCAGATAAACTGTTCGTAAAAGCAAATCAACTTTCTCGACTGCTTTAATTTATCTGAACGAGAAACAATTACAGAGTGCTGTTAACGCACAGAATTGTGCTGTGAAGCGCAAAAAATGGCATGCTTCGATTATTTTATCAGCTGTTTGGGTATAATTTAAAGGAAAAGTCAGCTGTGATTTTGTTTCTTCTTCATAGTTGGCTTTGGGAAATCAGCTGTCATTCTATCGAGTCGAAAACGCTTAACAGGGACTCCGAGTCCCTGTCAAAGTTAGCTCTCACATTTATGCTCGAGAAAGCCAAAATGCCTTAGCAGGGACTTTATCTGTTCGAGAAATGTTAGCCGGCACTCGAGAAACCGGCCCTAATTAGATTTCATCTTCAAAACTATGATTTTTCCAAAGAATATTTTTATTAAAAGCTAAAAATGAATAGCCGATTTCGACAAGCTCTTGAGGTATTTTAATGCCAAATTAAAGTGATCCACTTTTTTCAGTGTGCAGTGACGGACGCTGCATTGAAAGTCCGCAGACGATTTCGTTTAGGCGCACATTGAGGCCGCCAGTTGATTGCTGGCCAAGACCAAGATGACGCGTCGTCGCCGGCTGGTCACCTACTTTTCACTGCTTTCGGTTTTCGGTTTTCATACTTCAGACTGCCGACTTCAGTTTTCCGTTTTCCAGCCGCTGATTGATCAAGCTCCTGCTGCGTGTGCACAAATGCGCTGATTGACGGCGGTCGCAGCCGTTGTTTTATTGGCGCATTGAAAGTAATTATTTCTGCATTTACAGAACAATTACCGGACAACATGGAATTATCTGTGTCGACGACGCTTGCTTAATGTGTGAAAAAATGTAAACAAAACGATGGAAAAAAGGAGAAATACTGTCCGTCATCCGGGTGGAGGATGATGGAGGACACATACGCCCCTTTGGACACGCCCCGGCATTAGCAGAAAAAGCTAGCTTGGCTTTGGGTTTGGGTTGGGTCAGTCCTTTTGTCTGGCTTCTGGCAGAGACACACCCTCAACAGAACTCTTCGCATGTCCTGAGGGCTTTCTTCAAACAAAGAAAATTCGCTAAATTTAAGTATTGACCGTATTGCTGGTCAATGACTCTTTCTAGGAACTATTAAATAACTTTTCTATAAACACTTCAACTACATCACCTTCCTAGTGATTAATTTATTACTGCATTTCACTCAGTAAACCCCGCCAATGACGACAAAGCCAATTCAAGATTTCTTAGGTAAATGACTCGCCGACACTTCACTAAATAAAAAATATTTTTCAAAGTACCACGCTGTCTACCGAGTCACGATTTCTTATCAAAAAGAGAGCTCTCGACTTCCCGAGCAAAATTTGCCTTGGGTCAAACTTCCGCATGTTGATTCAGCATTTAGGCAGCGGAAAACTTTCTAGACCAAGTTGGTCCGTCATTGTTTGCCCAAACTGAAAATTCACATTCAAATTATGTGTCAAATGCGTGCTTTAGTCGGTATTTATAAACGCCTCTTTATGTAAGCCAACGGGCAATTAAAATCAAAGCAAACATCGGCCAAAACTAAATCCATTCCGGCTCGCTTCTATGATTTATTTATATTCCTCCTCGCCTTTTACACTCACATTCATTCATTCATTCGCAGCTCTATGCAAATTTAATATCGGTGGCTTTTTTGATTTTTTTCTTTGACCGAAGCATGACAAGATTTTTAATCAAAATGATTTTTGCCAAACACATAAATGTGGCTATTGACACAGTTAAGGCGGCGAGCATAAAATTCGACGAGGAGAAAATGTAAAAAAGCACAACAAAATCCAGCGAAAAATCAAATATGGTTAGAAAAAGAAATAAATATTTTCAAATTATTGACAGCTGGTTGAATGTCGTTGAAATAAATTATTGATGAAAATGACAAATTCCAAATTAATTTTAATTAATTTATCACATTTTCACAGCCAAAAGCGGAGCCAAATTAATAAGGAATTTTAATTGGAATTCGTGAGTTAAGTATATAAAACGAATATAAAATAACGATGGTAATTTATTATTAGTAATTACTGCTTGACATATTCTTTACTATCTGGATCTCGCAAAGTTTAAAAAAATAACTATTAAAAACTTGATTAACGTGTCATTTAGTTGATAGGATATGGGGTCGCTCGCAATCTAAAAATAATTCAAAAAAGACCCATAAAGGCCCGACCTTGTTTATGTGTGCTGATTCAGGTGACTAACACTTTTGCTTTCACATCAATCAAAGTTGATTGACCCTCATCTGACCGCAAAATCTGATGGACGGCTCTGCTAATTGAACTTAAAAACTTCAAAGAAGAGAGGACGTCTTGTGCGAATGATTTTTGCAAATAGCCAGAGATGCGTAAGTGTCAACGTGGCTCAAATATTTGATCAACGTGGGTAAATTGTAAAATGGATAATGGAAAATTCCCCGGCGCATCCGAGCGGATAAGCTGACCCAAACTAATTTGATTGGCTTTGAATTTAAATATTGTCCGGTCGTGTGAATGACACATGTAAGTGACGCAATGCCCTCGATACAGCGATTACTACAATTAATTGAATTAGTTTTTGTTGTTACAATTATTTACTGAACCGCAAGAGGCTTTCAATTTGATTGCTGTGGTTTTTCACTTCAGTTTTTTTAATACTTTTATCTGCCTTTGTTTGGTTTCGATTGATTGGAAGTTCTCCCTGTATGCTTATCTAATTCAACGAGAATTGTGTTTTTTTGCCGAGGTGCCTAATGCAAAAGCAACGCTACAAAAATAATTGGCAAAAAGAATACCATTCAAATGGAAATCAAAACAAAGTAAAGATTTTGTTATTCGAGATCGAATAATTTGTGCTCTGCATTTAGAATATTTTTAAATTATATTTTTATACAAGTAATTGCATTTTTTTAAACTTTCATCTGGTTGTAACAATCTATGGTATTTTAATATCAGATATTTAAGTGATATTTTCTTTTATTTTGTGATACTTTTTTTGTCATAACTGATATCTCTTTAATAGATACTTGTTGAGTCTCACATCATTTTATTGGCCGGCAGTGATTATTTATATTTTTAACTTTGCTGGCTTTCAATTTGTTTGGCTCGCTGGCCTGGTGTCTGATGTCATCGAAGAGGCCGACGATTGGCATTGGAGATTAGTGATCGGCGTGGCGAAAATTTATGAATCTATTGTAATGCGCTAAATTTAACAAGTTGCAGGGGAGCAGCGAGCAAAGTTCTGTTCGCTGACTAATTGGACAAATGGCATTTACAGCTGCCACTGGTTCGCAGAGTCTGGTCCTCCGGCTTTCTAGCTCTCTGGCTCTCCAGATCTGCAACTGCCTGCCACATAAATCTGGCCCCGACGACAACATCCTGGGCTGGGGAGGCCAGCAGAACTTCCTTTTGCGATTTGCTCATTAGAATTTATTGCCGCCGCTTGTCAAGATATACGTATCCTTGCGGCTCCACCGACTCTCGACTCCCCACTTTCAACTCCCGACTCCCGACTGGATGACAGATGACAGGCAGGGAATGGGGCGGCTGTTCGATGCTCCTTAGTGGCTTTTTTGCAAATTAGTCAAAGTCAGGCCCAAACAATGGCAGGCTTAGATAATTGCTGGCTAGCTGGCACTGGCTTTCACAATGCGCTGCCCGAAGAAGTTGCAGCTCTTCGCTCCAACTTCCTATTAGTTGCCACAGATTGTGCGATAGCAATAAGTTAGCCCAGCCCCGGGCCAGCTCTTCCCCCAGTGGATCGACCAAAGCCAGATCCAAAACTAAAACTAAAGCCAAGCCAAGCCCTCGTCAGATGCAGAGCCTCCGGTTCCGAGCTGCATCTGCCATTGTCTTCTGGCTGGATTCTCGGAGATCCGAGAGGAGAAGGTTCATTGCCTTGCAATGCATCATTTGTTCAAATCGCTTGGCACACAATAAAATATTGTAATAGTGCCGGTAGAGAACATGCTAAACACTTTGCTTTAGTTTCCTGGAAACTTTTCCCTTTATTATTGGCCAATTACCATTTTTGCCGATTTCCAAAAACTTTCCATCTATTTGTTTTAGTTGTGGCTTTTCCAACTCAACGCTCACTCAGCTGGCCGCAAATAAAACTTATTCCGTCTCAATTGACTTATTTCCTGCCCTTGCCAACCCCATTGACCAATTTTTTGGATTTTTTGTTTCAGCTTTGTGGCTAAAGTTTAATCTTTGGCTTTCATGCGAAATTTTCTCAAATAAATCAATTGTGGATTCTGTTTACTTTTTGAGAGTTTTTTGCCTGGGGCTAATAGCTCATTCTGCTTGTGTTGAACGAGTTATGATTCTTTCGTTCGTTTATTTTATAGGAAATGTGGAAGCGATGTAGACCGATAAATGCGTCCAAACACGCTATGCAAATTATTGTGTTGAGCCGCAAAAA